GGTGTATCCTGGTTTTGTGCTGCCTTAGGCAGGACAAAACTCAGGCGCCCCTACCCCCACCCAACCCTTCCCCCCACCCCACCTTCTAAATAAACACACACACAGTCAGACACACACACACACAGTCAGACACACACACACAATCACTCACATTAACACTTTTTTAAATTATTATTATTATTTAACCCCCCCAGCCTCCTTACCTTTGGGAATGCTGGGGGGGAGGGAGAGGTCCCTCTCTCCCTGGGGGTGCAGGAGGTGCAGTGGCGGGTGGGCGGCTGGCAAGGGAGCTCTTCCTCTGAGCAGTCTGCTCAGCTCCCTCGCGTGCCGCAGAGTGAGGCTGGGAGCCGGAATATGACGTCATGCTGGGCATTTGGGGGCACCATTTTTTGCCGCCCCCTGGAAAATGCCGCCCAAGGCAAATGTTTGCCTCGCGGCTAATACGTCCCTGCACACACCCACACACATCACACAAACAGCACCCTCACACACACAGCACCATCACCCACACATCAGTGAATGTGTGTGTGTGTATATGTATATATAAATATATATATATACACACACACACACACATACATATACATGCGCCGTGTGTTTGTGCGTTAGGGTGCACACCCTAATGCAATAGGCTGCGCACGACTATGGTCCCCTGAACTAACAGAAGTGGCAGGCACGCTGTTAGTGCGTCCTCCCACAAAGACCTCAAACCAGACGTGGGCACCAATTCAAAGACTTTTCAATGGTTATTTCCCCAAGAAGAGACTGAAATTCTCTTCCATGGAAAAAAGGAGAGGGCTTGTAAAGGCTGCAGTTTATAAGATTTGCAGCCATTGCAAGCTGTTTTAAGATATACCCCTAATTAATACATGCATAAAAAGTTGTGCATGTATTAATTGGGGGCTAGATCTATTAAACAGTGTCGTCGTCGTCCCCCCCCTCCCCACGGGGCAGTAGAGTGTTCCTTTAAATTGCACCTTTGTCTTCAATTTTCCACAATCATTACAATAAGCTTTATTGGTTATGATGCTTAGATTGTCTCTTTAAGACTCTTCAAAATTGCTCTTGTTGCATGCAGTCTTCAGTCTCAATATCTACTGAGCTGGGAACAGGCCCGGACTGGCCATCGGGCACAGCGGGCAAATGCCCGGTGGGCCGCGGTGGCCATGGGCAGAGGCCGGCAGGGGAGGTCCCAGGATCTCCCCTGCCGGTCTATGCAGGGCCGGCACTCTCCTAGCGCCGGCCCCGCTGTTTGCCACGACGGGCCGGTGGGGAGCTCAAAGCTCTCCCTCACCGGCCCAAATGCGGCCGCCAGCGGGGAGAGAGGGAGACAAACAGCCAGGCAGGAGAGAGGACCCGGCGGAGCTCTAACTTGCAGCTCCGCCAGGTTCCTCTCGCGAGATCCAGCGCGTTGCCATGGCAACGACCGGATCTCACTCACCCACGAGGACCACCAGGGAACACTGCCTCCCAGTCCCAGCGTGCCGGTCCCCCCCCCTCCCAGGCTAAAGGTAAGAAGGGAGGGGGACACATAATGCCTGTTTTTTGTTTATTTACCCCCCCCCCACACACACACAATAACATTTATACAGCACTCTCTCACACCCATCACACAGAGAACTCTCTCACACCCATCACACACAGCACTCTCTCACCCATCACACTCTCACACCCTTCACTCTCACACTCACAGCACTCTCTCACAGAGCACTCACACACACACAGCACTCTCTCACACAGCACTCTCACACCCATCACACACAGCACTCTCTCACACACAGCACTCTCACACCCATCACACACACACACACAGCACTCTCTCACAGAGCACTCTCACACACACACAGCACTCTCTCACACAGCACTCTCACACCCATCACACACAGCACTTTCACACACACAGCACTCTCACACAGCACTCTCACACCCATCACACACAGCACTCTCACACAGCACTCTCACACCCATCACTCACACACACTCTCACACCCATCACTCACACGGCACTCTCACACACACACATACTGCACCCCTCACATACACACAGAACCCCCCCAACACACTGCACCACACACATACACAATACTTCCAAATATATATATGTATGTGTGTGTTTGTGTGTGTGTATATATATATATATATACACACACACACTACACTCTTAAAGGACCACTCTAGCCACCCAGACCACTTCAGCTTAATGAAGTGGTCTTGGTGCCAGGTCCTTCTAGGGTTAACCCATTGTTTTATAAACATAGCAGTTTCAGAGAAACTGCTATGTTTATCAATGGGTTAAGCCTTCCCCCAAAGCCTCTAGCGGCTGTCTCATTGACAGCCGCTAGAGGCGCTTGCGTGCTTCTCACTGTGAAAATTACAGTGAGAGCACGCAAGCGTCCATAGGAAAGCATTATAAATGCTTTCCTATGCGACCGGCTGAATGCCGCGCGTGCGCATTCAGCCGACGGGGCGGATCGGAGGAGGAGAGCTCCCCGCCCTGCGCTGGAAAAAGGTAAGTTTTAACCCCTTTCCAGAGCCGGGCGGGAGGGGTCCCTGAGGGTGGGGGCACCCTCAGGGCACTATAGTGCCAGGAAAACGGGTATGTTTTCCTGGCACTATAGTGGTCCTTTAACATACACACTCTGGATCCCCTATACACACACTAGATTCCTTGTAAGCAAACACATACTACACCCCTAAACACACACACACTATAGCCTGTATGCACACACTTGCTATATCCCAATACACACATTCTCTACAGCCCATAGCCACATATGCATCACATTACACCACAAACACAACACGACTAAAACCGACCTTATTACACAATACCACACCACGACCAGCTCACTCTACACACACGCAATACCACAAGCAGGCTCCAAACACATGCACAATACTCTTTCCTGGCCCTTTTGTCTCCTGGTATCCATTTATAGAGACACCAGAGACAAGTTGCAAGGAAACACAGTGCAAGCATGTTATTAAATTTGCTTGCACTGTGCAGAACAAATACAGGACTTTTTTCTCATGCTAGAGCTCTTCAGCAGAGCTCTGCGCATGGTCTGCCCTGGAAGAGCATTGAACCAACATGCTCACTTTGAGAGGAGGCGTGTTTGTCATTGGTGATGACAAAACACACCTCCTCTGCCCCGCCCCCTTTTTAGTGGGCCGCTGTGTTAAAAAAATGCCCGGGCCGAATTTTTCTCCCAGTCCGGCCCTGGCTGGGAAGGTCCATTGATGCAATGCTGCATAAAAGTATGTTATCACATCCAAGCCGTGCAACCACACTTGCATAGGTATGCGCAGGGAGTGTGCTAGGTGTGCCCAGACACACCCTATTGCAGGGCCAAACTGTTCTCCCTGTCCCTGTTCTCTCCTTTTGTCTCTGTGGGGACTTTGTGTGAGTATGGTTTGGCTTATTATGTTTTGAAGAAATCCTCTATATATACCTTGTTTTAGAGCAAGAAAGTGCAATGTGCACCTCTTTTATTACAAAGAGTAAAGTTGCCAAGGTAATTTTCTCTTATTTTTTTATTTTGGATAAAATTGAACTTTGCATGTATATCTGATATGTTGGCTGAGTATTAATGTTTGCTCAGCCCAGTGTCAATTATAGTTACTGTAACAGCAGAGCATGCTACCATGTACTTGATAACACTGGTGATATGTTTTAAACATATCTAAGGCCAAAAAAAAACTTGATGCAACCAAGCCACCATTTGCCCTCCACTGCCATTTGATACCCCAGACTCCATCCTGTTGACAACTGTGTTAAATGGTTCTCTTTCCAGCTGCTCCTTCAAGGGACACTAATTACCAAAATAACTTTAGTTTAATTAAATGGCTTTGGTGTACAGATCAAGCAATTCGACCATTCTTCAGAATTTGAAAGAGCCTAATACAGAATAATATTCTGTCCTGGTAATACGCTTTTCTCCCGGAAAGTATATTTATTATTGTATACTTAAGTTCCACTTGTAGGGTCATAGTTAACTGTGACACCCAAGAAGGGCTAATCACAGAAGAATGGTGAGAAAGATGCTTAGGAGATGGTTCAAGTGAGGCGAGTATATCTTAATATTTTACATGTATTTCAGTGGTACATAATTAATGCAATGTATTTGGAGACAGTTTATTTTTTTCTTCCTGTTAGAACATGTTTAATATAATGAAAATGTGCAGCTAAATCACATGCCATGATTTCTGTTTATGATGAAAGGCTTACATGTGTTGTTGTAGCATTGCAAGCATGCCTGTTAATCTTTAGCACAGCAAAAACAAAAAAAATCACTAGTCCACACATCGCATCAAAAATGCTGTTCTAATACATCCCCACAAGATATCACCTTTAAAATATTTCAATCAAAATACATAGTGTAGAAAAGAGATTGTTTTCTGGATTTTTTTTACATTTTTTTATTTTTGTGTGCTTCAGAGTAACAGACAGTCTTGCTCTGCCCCAACAGCAGTGGCAAGATATGTAGTATACACGTTTGTACAGTATAGGGCAGTCTATAATACAGCACTTTTTTTTAGTAAGAATAGATTTTGCGTTCAAGAGTGGTACATGCAGGCTGAGAGACATTTTAGCAGATAAGCATGAGCACGAGTGTGTAGCTTTCAAATGTCATAAGAGGAACATTGAACTTATTGTGATACGGAACATGCTAGGCAAATAAGAAATATCTGACTGCAGAACAATGCCAACTGGTAAAGGTATAGATATTATTACACTAACATGGTGAGTAGAAAGTCAGTAGTTGTCTATGACTAAAGGAACCACCATAACAAAAGGGAGGCTGGCTTCATGCCGATAGGAGTTGGAGTCTGGATGTAGAGATGCACACTATAGGCGCTGTGACCATGTAAAATTCATCTCTTATGCCCCCTAGGTACGCTTAGGAATGAGTTCCTCATTGTGAACAGAGTAGAAGAGGAAAAGAAAAATTAAAGTAAAGATAAAGATGGAGCACAGGAGGAGGTAAGCTGAACGATTACTATTGAAGGGCCATGTGTAAGATGGTGGTTCCTGTGCTCAGTCTCACGTTCAGCCAATGCCCCGCTGGGGTGCTCCACATTCCAGCCAGGAGAGTCTCAATGCCAGGCTCAGGCGCCCTCGATCTGCTGGTATATTGTGGGAATGGGGCAGACATGTTGCGGCTTGTTGGGTCAGTTTGGGTGGTCCTGACACTCGCGGTGCGCTGTGAACAGGCTCTTCGGGCTAGCCGTGTATGGATGTGCCAGGTTACTCGGAGGAGGGTAAGCTGTGGTTCTCCGTTGGTGTGGGCTGGGTTTAAGCGCGTTTGAAGTTTGCTTGCGGTGGGGCTTAGCCGTCGGTAGGTTTCAGCTTGTGAGTTTGCGAGCCCGTGGAGGATGTTGCCGTGTTTGAGGGAGTGCGTGCCCATGGGGGGAGTGGGTCGGCAACACTATAGGTGAGTGCTCCACATGTTTGTGGCGTTTAGCCTGCTGCTTCCTAAGTGCCAATTTTCTCCAGAAGGCATTGAATAGGTCGTCTAACCCAGTCTGCAAGTCAGGCTGGGTTTCGTCGTGCGTGAGGATACACGTGGTTTCTGCCATCTTGCTTGATTCCGTTTTGTCATTCCGCTCGTGTAGCGCCATTGTGTGAGTGTGTTACAAGTGGGTTGCCTCTCCGGAACGAATCGGGATTTATATTACAGGCAGTGGTGTATTCTGGTTTTGTGCTGCCCTAGGCATGACAAAACTCAGCATTCTCCCCATCACCAAATTTATCTTCATGACAGACACATGCCCTCACTGATGCATGCACTGACATATGCTCACTTACAGATACAGTCATTGTCACACACTGTTTAACCAACACACACTTTCACTGAAACATACACATTCACTGACAAACACTCACTCATTCACAGTTACACACACACACACACACACATTCACCCACAGACACATACACACTCACTGACATAAATTAACACACACACACACACTGGGACACACTCACTGACAGATACACACTGACAAACACTTATACAACACTCACTGACAGACATATGCATTTAGTATCAGACACACTTATTGACAGACACACATACGCTAGCTGACAGACATACACATTTACTGACAGACACACTCTCAGTGACAGACGCATACACCCACTGACAGAAACACATACACACTTACTGACAAACATGTATACATTCTCACTGACACACATACACACTCTGACAAACATATATACACGCTCAGTGACAGACACACACTCACTAACACACACACACTCACTAACAGGCAAACACACACTCATAATTTAAAATTAAAAAATATTCAAGTTTAATTCACCCAGCCTCTCTACCTTTGGGAGTGGTGGACTGGATTCTTCCCTGTGGTCCAGTGGGGCTGGCTGCAGCTCGAGAAGCAGTCTGTCTGGCAGGCGCAGAGTGGAGGCGGGCGGCGAGGGAGCTCTGATCCTCCTACTCAGCTCCCTCTTGCACCTCTTAGTAATGCCGAGGCTGGAGAGATGTCACATTCCAGCTCTGGCATCACTGTGGTGCGCGTGAGGGAGCTGAGCAGGGAAGAGCTCAGGGGAGAGTACTCCCTCGCCACCTGCCTCCCACATAAGGTAGATGCCAGCCTCAGGAGGCCATAAGGTGGCCAGCCGGCCAGCTCCAGGGCCCCCCAGGACATTTGCCAGGGCGTTTGGTGGGCTTTTTTTTTACCACCGCCCTGAAAGTGCTGCCCAAGGCAAATGCCTTGTCAGCCTTGCGGTAGATACAACGCTGATTACAGGCTAATTTTAAGTAAGCTTACCATCTTCCTGGGTGATGCTTATCTCATTACAACTGCCCTCCTCAGTTTCCTCGCTGTCATAACCCAGCTCATTCTCTCTCCTTCCACTGTTCGGCTCTACCAAACACCACTTTGACTAATTTATTTAGGCACCATCATCTTATCCATTAATACCTCATGCCCTCCTCTTGTATGTCTTTATCCCTTCCATATCAATAAGTTAGTTTGAGAGGGGAATTCTTAACTACTTGTCTCTGCTAATATTTTGCATGACAACTACTTGTTAATTATCCCAATTCTATAAGTATATGGTGCTGCTGAATATGCTGGATTAGAAGTCAGCCTGAAAAAGACAGAAGTCCTCCATCAGCCTGCACCTCATGAAGACTACCATCACCTAGTGGAGAAAGATGGCCACTTGAGCCCGGAGCTCTGCACCATGAGCTAGGCAATTGAGAGAATATTGGCAAATCAGACGAGCATCCTAATACTATCAACACAATGCCGCACTCTAAATCAAACCGGCACATGGACAAAGGGGAAAAAAACTAAATTTTTTCGCTCCAAAAAGACCTGCAGCTCTACAGCCTAACGATCTAGGCCAACAAGATGGCGACAACTGCGCCAGAGACAGTAGACCCCGCTCAGATACAGAGGTCCCTGAGGGGACTGAAGAACTCACAGCTTCCCTTCTACAAGCTGCCTTGGATAAACAAATAAAAAATACCTACAAGAACTAGGCTCACGCACCACGCATGTGGAGACTAAGATGGAGGAAATAGTAGATGCTCAAAACACCGCAGCGGATAGAATCCAACAGCTAGAATCGCAGCTCGCAAAGTATGAAATGAAGCTAATGGATCTGGACTCTGTAGGACCGCTCGAGATGCAGCAACCTAAGGTTACACCGCATCCCTGAGTCGATACAAGTGGTTGATCTACCAACGTTTGTAAACAGCTTCTTCAGAACGCTACTTCCCGAGATCCCATCCGCTACGCTCTTCCTGGACCGACTTCATAGGGTTCCAAAGCCAAAACACATCTCTACCTCTCCCGAGGGATGTACTGCTGAAAGCCCATTATTTCCACCTTAAAGAAATGTTGCTACGCCGAAGCTGCACAGCAAAGGAGTTACCAACCGAATTCACCAGCATTCGCATCTTCTCTGATTCTTTCGGCAGCTACACTGAGCCAATGGAAAGCATACCAACGGCTTACAGATGTCCTACGGGAACAACAAATAATCTACCGCTGGGGCTTTCTTACCCGCCTGATCATCATCAGGAATTGTACCACCTCGGTAGTAGTATCAGTGGAAGAAGGCGTGCTCCTCTTACAGCAGTGGAACTTGTGCCCGACTGAAGAACCGGAGAGCACTAAATCACTGCGGGGTCTGAAGCGAGAATGGTCCCCCCTGGCTATAAACTCAAAGTGGCACCCTGCAAGTATACAGCGTTGCCAACACTAGTCTATCCTAGCTATAAATGTTATGATCACAACTGTGATTACAGGTTAATCTCTCATTACTGAGATTGCGCTCACTGATTGCCATACAGTTGCATCACAGTGCACCACAGTTAATGTGTTTAGACAAATGTTTTCCATAATTTTAAGTTACTGTTTGTAAGCTGTTATGACTATATACCTATTATAGCTGACGCACTGTTAGACATGTGCCAGCTCAGGCTACCTAACTTGTCACCAACTCTGCCTCCATGACCCCAATCGTACAGACTCTCTGTACCAAGTACTGAACCAGTGCTTTTATGTATATAATTTTGTTTTCTTATTTTTCCTCGTTTATGTTTCGCCACCCAACCCTTTGGTCCACTACTTGAGCCATGCCTCAAACACGCAAGCAGCTCTCTTAAAGGGCCCGCCTAAAACAATAGGGAGTATTCTGCGTGACATGAAGTTGTCTTGCAAGTCCATTAAACGACAACTCTGCTTTAACTACACAGAGACCCCTGACAGTACGAACATCATCACCAATGGGTCTAACTAGCGTTTACTTTAACTTACCACACTGAAGATATATTCTCACAACGTAAGTGGGCTTAACATAAAAGGCACATGATCATTAACTACGCCAGAAAGCACACTGTCGGTTGCCTTTGAGTTGTTACAGAAAATATCAGATGCACACTGTAGATACCTTATTTTGATTTGTTTATTGAACAATGTTCAGTATACTCTGGTGAATGTGTATGCTGCGAATGAAAACCAACGTAATTGTATGCACAGTGTGTTGACTAGGGTGGGAGCTGCACAAAGGGGAACCACTATTATATGCAGGGATATAAATCAGGTGCTGGATCCCAACCTAGACACATCCACACCTAATCATTCCCTACGGTATAAAGAGATTTAATCCCAATGCAAAGCAATGACCAAACTGTTGCTGAAATTAAATTTATATGATAGGTGGCGCACTATGCATCCTAACGACAGATGTTATTCTTACTACTCACAAATCATATTCTAGAATAGACGTGATTCTTATGCATGGTTCCTCCTTAAATCAAATCGTAGCTTGTGACATAGGTGATATCGTATGGTCCGATAACAGATGACTTCAAATTTCGCAGATGTAACCTGTGGAGACTCAATACCATGCTATTGAATGACGATCACTTTAGCGCTGCAGTGGAGTCAGATCTCTCGCAGTACTTTACAACAAATTACACTCCTGAGACGCCTATTTCTTCCACATGGTTAGCCCATAAGGTTGTTGTACATTCATCCGAAGGGCATCCTTCCTTAAGAAACAATTGCAAACCAAAATACTTACCCTCCTCAGAACACAGACACCTCACAGCCTCTTAATACCTTAAGCCAACCCCAACTAGGGCAGCACAAACCCAAAAAGAAATCAATGATTTTAACATATCCCGCACAACATATAACTTGCATTAAAGGACCACTATAGTGCCAGGAAAACATACTCTCTTTCCTGGCATTATAGTGCCCTGAAGGGTGCCCCCACCCGCCCAGCTCATGGGAGAGGAAAGGGTTAAAACTTACCTTTTTTCCAGCGCCAGGCGGGGAGCTCTCCTCCTCCTCTCCGCCTCCCCTTCGGCTGAATGCGCATCCGCGGCAGGAGCTGCGCGCGCATTCAGCCAGTCTCATAGGAAAGCATTTACAATGCTTTCCTATAGATGCTTGCGTGTTCTCACTGATTTTCATAGTGAGAATCACGCAAGCGCCTCTAACGGCTGTCAATGAGACAGCCACTAGAGGATTTGGTGGCTGGATTAACCCTATTATAAACATAGCAGTTTCTCAGAAACTGCTATGTTTATAAAAAAAAAAAAAAAAAAAGGGTAAATCCTAGAGGGACCTGGCACCCAGACCACTTCATTAAGCTGAAGTGGTCTGGGTGCCTAGAGTGGTCCTTTAACTAAAGGCAAAACAATATGCTAAGGAAAACAAAGCCAGGTCGTTGCTAGCTATTAGACTACGCGGCTCTGACACTCAATCCAAAATAGCATACTTATTGACAAGCGAGGGCAAAAAGATCATAAAAACTACAAGACATATGCAACGCCTTTGCACAGTTTTATAGTAAACTGCACAACTTAAGAGGACCCTGAAGTCCATTAACTTACTTCCGAGGAAATTTCTCAATTCCTAGCACTAGTGACCCCCCCCCTGTTTATCCCATGACCAAAGTCAACAATTACTGGAACCTATTACCCAACCTGAGGTAGAGTGGGTAATCAAAGACTTGCTCTCACACAAACCACCAGCCAGGCCCAGATGGGTTCCCAAATCTGTATTACCAAAGATTCTCCTCCATCCTCTCCCACCAAATGGCAAAACTATTCAACACAGCCACTGAAATTCAACCACTCCCCCAAAAAATGCAAGAGGCCAAAGTGGCCACATTACCCAAAACAGGCAAACCCCCAACCAAATGCATCAACTTTCGGCCCAGCTCCTTGTTAAACTCAGACAGGAAAATTATGGCAAAACTATATGCGAACAGGCTCCCTACCATCATACACTCAGACCAGGTCGGCTTCATCAGCAGGAGACAGGGGGCCAACGGAACCAGCAAGACACTCACACTTTTACACAACATGCATAGACTAACTAAAAATAATATACTATTGTCCCTAGATTCCTTAAAAGGCTTTCAACCACCTGCACTGGTCTTTCCTACAGGCAGTCCTGGAAATTTTTTACTTCCCACTCCACTTCCCGGCAGTAGTAAAAGCACTATATGATAATCCCACTCCCAGGGATTTCAATGCAGGATTTAGATCGGACCCTTTTAATATCACAAACGGGACTAGACAGGATTGTCCTTTGTCGCCCTTACTGTATATAATAGCGCCGAAACCTCTGGCAGCTTTTATAAGATCCAACGAGAAATTACAAGGCGTCCGTATTGCAGATAGGAAACTGAAGCTGAACCTTTTTGCAGAAAATATCCTCTTAACCCTTACTAATCCCACATCTCTGCCAGCATTCCATGCCATCCTAGATTCCTACAGCCGTTGCTCATGCTACAAACTAAACTTTACGAAAACGCAGGCCATGGTGGTGAGGATGGAGGATACCTACATGTCAGAATGGCAGAAAACATACTCTTACGACTGGCAAACCGATTATGTGACCTTTCTTGGGGTTAAACTCCCCTTTCACTTACCTCGACTGTACCACTTAAACTATGTCAAATTGAGTAAAGAAATTGCTACAACCCTACATAACTGGAAGCATAAGTTCATCTCCTGGTCCGGACGAATAGCAGCAATCAAAATGACAATTTTACCAAAAATGCAATATCTGTTCAGAACAGTCCCACTGATAGCTCCATCAGCATATTTCAGAGCACTGCAAAAACAGATAAACATGTTTGGCAGGAATGCCAAAAAGCCCAGAATAGCGCTTTCCATGCTGTACATGGCTACTTGCAATGGCGATATGGATCTACCCAACCTGCAATTATATTATAAAGCAGCCATCCTAAACAATCTTGTGTAAGCCCGGCAACACCCCGACACGCTGCAGCAGGTACACATTGAGCAATATTGGAAACAACAATGTGACATATCGACTCGGATTTGGTTAGCCCCATCCCAGAGACCAGACCTAACGCAAGTGCTCCCCACCACGACAACAACCTTAACAGTGTGGAACTCCTCACGAAAGCTTCTGTGCAGCTGCCACCCTACCTCAATGGCTACACCTATCAAAGCCTTATCCATTTTGATCCCTGATATCACTTTCAGAGTCTGGAATAGATGTGGCATCACATACATAGTTGATTTACAATCTCAGGGGAAATTACTGCCGTTTGAGCAACTACAAAATCTACATACAGTTCCAAATTTTGCAAGGTTCTCCTATATGCAAATACGATCATGGTGGCACAACCAGGTAGTCACCCCTACCCTAAATTCTCAGACAAGTCTAGTAAATGCTTTTAAAAAACTTCTTATGGCCGCAAAGAAACCCATTTCCTTGATATATACCGTTAAACATGAACACAGAACTTAGAAATCTTCCTTGTATAAAAGCCAGGGAAACGAAATTTGGGACGCCAGGTGTCTGATACAACTTGGCTTAGATTCATTAATACATTCAAAACTTCTTACGGCATGAACATCCCATATGAAACTTTCGTGTAAACTATTTAACAGATGGTACATGATGCCCACACAAATGGCCAAAATCCTCCCATCTAAATCTGACATATGCTGGCGCTGCCACAGGGAAACTGGCACATTTCTGCATGTCTGGTGGAGCTAAAATAAAATCCTTTTAGAAGGATCTCCCTCATCATCTCCCTCATCCAACAACACACCAATATATCTCCCATCTATTATTTGTGTTTGATGAACTATACCCTAATGCTGATAAATACCTGCTCTTCCATATCTTAATAGCAGCACTGTCGCACATAGCTAAAAACTGGCTATCCTCATCCACTGCAACGATGCAAGAACTTACAAGATACATTTCACAAGTAGGCAGATATGAAATAGCCACCGGGAATATATAATTGAGACAGAGCTGGAGACACGAACTATGGGAAACCTGGGCCTTGAAACACCCAACCTCAAGGGACCCTCTAGATAAAGACTTACAGCACCTTCACGAGACCTAGCCAAGACACTAGAGAAACAAGGCAGATACAATTAAGTGAAAATAGAATTACACTGGAGTCTCCCGCCACTCCCCCACTTTTCCCCTTCCCTCCTCTACAATCCTCACACATTTTATTCTATACACATGCATTCCTATGTTATACCACACCATCCAAAGTACGTACTCCATTGCCATAGCCAGGAAGTGATACACTAATACCACATACGACTGTGAGGGGTACCACCCTATGCTACCACACCTACACATATGATCTGAACTGAACTAAACAGGGCACACATACCGCAACTAGCTGAAACACAAATTTTCACAAGACTAGTCTCAGCTCTATTATATGCCAGGATATCCAATAGT